AGAGAGAGAGAGAGAGAGAGAGAGAGAGAGAGAGAGAGAGAGAGAGATTGGGAGAAAGAGAGAGAGAGAGAGCTCTAGCCTTAGTCAGTTCTTCTATGTGACTTGGTATAAGTCACTTGGCCTCTCTGAACCCTGCGGGATTATATCTGAAGTTCTCTCTAATGCAGAGCGGAGATGAGAGGTCTTTTTGTTGAAGCCCAAAGCAAGCAGAGAGAGAGGTCAAAGGTCACGCGCCACTTTTCTGTGTCTTCTCCTTGACCCTCTGTCTTGTTTCATAAAGGTGGGTGTGCTGCTGGAGTGCAGAGAAGAGGCAAAGAATTTATTCAAAGCACTGTTCCCCGGTCCCTACCGGCAGATTGTCTCCACAGTGTTGGTCCTTCTTGCTCATTTTTTCGGAAGCTGCCCCCCAGATCAGTTTTCCTAGAGCAGGCCACATGGCTGTCAAGACCTTATCCACTGCATCCAACAGATGAGCCCAATTTACTGGCTGCCATTGTACCATTAGACTGAGCCACACTATCCCCAAGATGGACTGAAATCTTTCCTTCTTCTGCTGTGTGACCATGTCTCTCACTTGAATTCCAACCTATATGTCATTCCCAAAGACCTGGCTCCCTTTGTACCGTCTTCCATGTCCTCCTGGTACTCCTCCATTTCAGGACAGTTCTTCCTACAGTTCTCTCTGTCTCAGTACCCTGGTGATCTGGTTTGTGGAAAAACACCATCTGTAATTTCAGTGTAAACTTGTCAACATCTGTGTTTTTGTCACTGCCTCTGAAATACAAGCTCCAGGGTTTTTGCTTTGTTCCATACTGATTCCCAGTGCCTGGACTGGACGGCATAAACAAATGTTCATTGAGTGAATGAGTGATAGTTGATGCCTAGAGAGTATCTATTGAATTGTTAAGTCTGTAGACCTGCCGTCTTTCTCCCTCCTTTCAGGGACCACCTTCCCTGTTGTTCCATCTGTGTGCCTGGTTAGGTCTGTACTCTTTCCAGGCACAGGGCCAGGCCACGAATCACACCAGCCTATCAGAGTGTTCTCTCTCTCTCTCTCTCTCTCTCTCTCTCTCTCTCTCTCTCTCTTTCTCTCTTTCTCTCTCTGGGAATGCACATGGTGCCAGGCTGGTTCTGGGTGCCCAAACCTGAGATGCTCCCTGCCAAAGTGGTAAGATATGGTCCTGTTGTTGCCAGTAGGGAAGTCCCTGGGAATGACAGTCATTGGTAGAGATCCTGATGGCAAGTTCCGGACAACAGCCTTCAAACATCTGGATCCAGATGTGCCTCACTTTCAGTTCATCATCACAGTGTTCTGAAATTTACCTTCCCAAACTGGTCCATATTATAAATCTCAAAATAGCCTGGGCAAGTATGCATGCTAGTGGCTGAACACCACCCCTGGGGCTCCAAGGGCTTACAGTTATTCACCCTGCTGCACCGTTTATACAAAATCTTCAGTTAGGTATTGCATCCCAGAGAGGGGAAAGGATGTGAGGTGTCTAGGAAAGTTCCGCACTTCTCAACTCATTCTCATAACCTTAGGAAGCAGGAGACCATGCTGTAGAGACAGCTTCTACAGGAGCGTTGAGGCGGTCTCCTTTGGGTTCTCCTGGTGTTGGTGGGACATGGATCAGCTGTCCAGAGGAACAACTCTTTATCATCAAAGATGTCAAATATAAATGAAGGTAGCAAAAAGGGGATTCAAACACTCCATCACATGCTCACAAATCAGCCCCAATAAATTCCTGGCCACCCCTGCTCCACCTCTCTATCCACCCACTCCTTCCTGCCTGCCTTCCCTCCCTGATTGCTTTCAAGCATATCATTTTATATGGAAATATGTTAATATGCATTTCTAGATGATAAGACTCCTTTAAAGATATATCTCGTCTGCTGCTGGCATCTCACTGGAGCAGGTCGTTCCGGTAATGACTTCCGAGGAGCCAGACTCTTGGTCTCACACCCTTGAGAAGTTCCCTCTGGCACTCGTTTGAGCTTGATTGACAAGGTGAATTCCTTTGGCCAATGAGACAATAAGAATACAGTTCAAGGCAGAGGCACCTGCTCACTGGGGCCTTCTTGGTTTGGCTGCTTGTTGGGGATGTTTTAATGTTCACGTGATAGTGCAAAGCAGCACAGCCTGGCCTCCCTGGGAGGAAGAGTCCAGAGATAGGAAAGCATAAGTGGGTAGATGACTATACAGAGGGATAGATGACAGACATGGAAAGGTGATCAGGTAGATAGGTGACAAACCGGTAAATGACAGATGATAATGAGATAAATAATTGACAACAAATGATAGGTAGGTAGATGATGGAGATCTTAGATGGTAGGCAAAATATAGGTGATGGTGTTAGACAGATGGTAGACAGATAAACGTACCGTAGTTAGGAGCGTTGGCAGCTATTGCAGAGGGCTGTAGTTCGGTTCCCAGCACCAGGTCAGGTGATTCACAATCACCTGTAACTTCAGCTGCAGGGGATCCAACACCCTCTTCCAGCCTCTGCATGTGGGCATGCACGCATGTGCTCATGCATGCAAGCACACACAGATGCACACGCAAGAGCACACACACGCATGCACACACATCAAAAAAAGTAAAAATAAATCTTTAGGTAATGGAGCCGCCAGGGCTGAGGCTCCGTATCTCTATGCAAGATCATACAGTAGGATAGACATGAGTCAGCTCAGCTGAGATCTGCTTAAATCCGTGACTCACAGGATCACGAAAGAACAAGACAGTAAAAACAGTTGTTCATTTAAACTATCAGTTTTTAGGGTGGCTTTTAATACAGCAGCAGGTTACATATACCAAAACACAGAGAGTAATTCCTTGGTTTCATCAAAGAGCTAACCCATACTGAAATGCCGTTGAAGTCCTCATAGACCTTCCCTTCTTCCTTTTGCTTGTTACAGTCAGAAACCACATGGTCTTTCCAGCCTGGCTGACCAGTGTATCCCTTATGTCTTCTTTAATCTGTAGTTTCTCAGGCTTGTAGATATTCCCTACAGTCTGCTCTTGCTGAATGCTGTGGTCCTTTATAACCTGTTTTCATGTCTCTAAATTTTCTGTAAAGAAGAAGAAAAATCAATATGAAAGTGTGATCAGATTAGGGCTTGATTTACTCTTCCCCAAGGCCACTACATGGTGGCCTATGTTCTCCCTTAAGGGTTATTGATGAGTGTTTGTCTTTTCTTGAGCTTCTAATTCATTAGCTGTCATAAAATGATACAGCAAAGACCCACCCTCTAGTTTACCATTGACTATTGATTCTATAAATAGTATTAAGTACAATAATAAATAGTATTAAATATTAAAGACATATTAAAGATGCTGGTGATGACCAGCATCACCAACATCACTGTCACCATCGTCACCAACATCATCTCCATCACCACCAACCATCATTTTCCCCTTTCATTAGTAATGTAATACATCTGCACACATTTTTTTCTCTTGAAGTATCACCTCTGGGCCTTGTGGCATAGGCCGACAGCCCCAGATACTTGGGAGATAGGCAGGAGCATTTGAAGTTTAAGGCTAGCCTCAGCAACTTAGCAAGATCATGTTATAAAAATAAAGAAGCAGCAGAGGTCTGGGATAGAACTCTGTTGCCTAGCATGCGTGAGGTTGTAGGTGCAATCCCAGCACCCCTTCCTCAAACTCAAGCATTTGGCTACCCAGGGACGGCAGGATAAATGTTTGATTCACTCTATTTTTTCTTTTTCTTTCTTTTATTTTTTTGGCCATTTCTCAAAATAATGTGTTGGTTTTAAGCTCCCCCAGAGACCACCACTAAGGTTTATTTTAGTCTTTGTGTGTTCTAGTGAACTTGTGGATTTAAACAATTTACTGTGAGCTCGGTACAATTACTGTCTTTATTGATGCTGAAACAATACTGTCCCTGACCAGTGGGAACCAGTTCAGTCAGCTGTCTTGTCATTTGAAACTGACTCAGAAATAGCTTATTTTCTTTGATAGTTTTCTCATTTCTGGTTTACAGAAGCTGGCTTTATTTTGAACTTTATAATTTCCTAATTTTAAAATAAATATTCCCCCCCCTTACTGAGTCTGGTGGTTCAGGCCTATAATCCCAGCTGCATGAGAGGCTGAGGCAGGAGGATCACAAGTTAAAGGCCTGCCTGGGCTATAGTCAGTTCAAGACTAGTGGTCAGTTTAATTGAGATTCTTTCTCAAAGGGCAAAAAGAAGCCTGAAGATGTGGTTTAGCTGGAGTACCTGCCTAACCTACACAAGGCCCTATGTTCAGTCTCTAGTACACACACACATACACACACACACACACACACACACACACACACACACAGAAAGGAAGAAAGAACAAGAAAGTGAAGGCAAGTGCCTTGTCTCCAAGGATTCTTGGCTTATTTTCTCCCTGTCACACAAGGTGTTTCAGAGGCTGCGATAGAGACAGCTCTGATGGACTTTCTATTAGGACAGAAAGGCCTGATCATTTCCAGAAGGTCAAATTGCTTGGCATAGATTTGTGTTTTTCCCTGAGATAAATTTGGAAAAATTGACCACATAAGAGCATACCATTACCGCATCTGCAAAAAGCAGTGGATGCAAGAGGTGACACCTCATCGTGAATCACTGTTTTCTGGTGGGTGACAATTGAGACAGAATCTCATTTTTGTTAATAAAGGGTCCGAAGACATTGCAATTTCTGAGCTGGTTGAGTCTGCATCTGGGAGATCCAAAGATGTGCAGGTTCTCAGAGTGTGGGGTCGAAGTTCCCACTGAGTCTTGGAACTAATCTGTCACTTGGGAAGGCTCAACAGGGTCTGGGGGACCACCTATGTGTCGCAGTCTTGTCCAAGACAGTGTCAGGAGTGACGCTAACAGAACTTTTCCTAACACATTTGGAGGTTAAAATAACATGCTGCACAGAGCGACAACTGGCTTCACCTTTTCTTTGCCAGGAGTACTACTGTACTCAGAACTCTCCCATTTAATTCTTTATCCAAATAAATACATGGATCCAAAAGCTCTGTTAGACTGGGGAGATGGCTCAGAAGATAAAGTTCTATGAAGCATGAGGACAGTAACTGGAATCCCCGGAACACAGGGGAATGCTGGATGGGCAAGGCAGCCCACCTATGGTTCCAGCCTCAAAAAGCAGAGGCAGGGGATCTCCAAAGCAAACTGGCTAGCAAGACTGGAGTTATAGGTGAGCTCTGGGCTTGAATGAAAGAGACTACCTCAATAAGTAGGTGGAGGTGATCATGAATGCTTTGTGACATTAACCTTGTGCCTCCACATACATGTATACACATGTGAACATGCATTTGTACCAACACCCAATACAGGTCCGCACACATGTACACATGTATATACACATGAAGAAAATGAGTAAGAGAAAGCTGTCAGTTCTCAAGTCCCTCTCTCTCTCTCTCTCTCTCTCTCTCTCTCTCTCTCTCTCTCTCTCT